GAGGAGCGTGTGCCCTGGGGCGATGCTCACATCCCCGCTGTATTTGCTAAATACCCCATAAAGCCCATCGTACTTTTATGTAGGTCTCACGTAAGGGCTTCAGCCAGGTTCCCCAGTGAAATGACAGGAGAAGACAGCCACAAACTGACGTGTCCGCGTGGCCCTGGTGACCACAGCGAAGCAGCTCTGCCTCTGCCTTCCCACGTTTTTCCCCCCTGTTTTCATGCGAGACACGGGGGGAGGGAAGCAGCAGGACAGCGTGGGCTCCCCAGCACCCAGCAGGTCCCCGGGCTCCTGCTCTCCTGCTTTCCCTGCCGCTTCCCTGCCCATGGGCTGCAGAAAGCGATGGTGGGGGAGAGGAGAAATACCAAACTGTGTCTGCAGGGCACCGGGTGGGGAAGGCTTGTGGTGCCGGGGGGCACGTGGGGTGTGCTGCGTGCAGGGGCTCTGTGCTCCCGCGGGCAGACCTCCCCTCGAAGCCCTTCCCCACCACCACCAGTCTAGGAGAGGCTTCCAAAAAATCCCTCCAAAGCTTGTAGTATTTCATCCTCCACGTTCCTTGAGAGATCTCTGGATGTGACGAAGGCTGAGATAGCAGGGAAACCTTTTTGTGTGTCCTTACCCCAAATCTGCTGCTTGCAGAGGGCTGGGAGAGCCGCTCGGGTGCTGCGCTCGCTCCTGCCGCGCTGCCGGCCACTTTCGTGGGATGCCATTAAGTACTTCTTAGCTCTGTGAAACTGTCCAGACCAATCTCATGAGCTCGTGGAGAGTAAATGACTTCTTTGTGACAGTGTAATGCAATTAGCGCTAATTGTAGAGTGTGTAATGTCTGCAACACATCTCTGTAATTACAGTAAAACTTGCTGGAGATGAGAATAGCGCTGCATTATCAAAACTCAGCTTAGTGAAACATGGCTTTGGCTGTAGGTTATGGAGTTGCATGGGGAAAAGGGAGGGAAAAAAAGTGATGAATGACATAATTACGCTGTGTTATTTTAGAGAGGAGGATTTGGGGAGTTAGCTTTTAAGAGAACACTTGAAGGTTAACGGGCGTTGCAAGCCAGCTCTCGCCCTCTAAAGACAATTCAGGATGATTTCAGCCTCTCCCAGTGTACGACGCTGAAGTACAGAGGACGAGCACTTGCTTCCTTCCAAAAATACACAGAAGCGTTTGCAGTTTAGTGCTGGCTGAGGCTCGGGCTGGTGAACCGGAGCTATGGGATGGAGATGTGCCCTGACTTGCTGTCTCCCTGGCCGCTGCAGGACCCAGCACCTGCTCTGCCTCCCCCTCCTCCGGGCAGGGTGCAGGGACCTCTTCTCCGACCGGTCAGTGGGAAGAGGATAGGCACAGACTGAGATCTACCTGCTCCTCAGCTGGAGCCAGCCCCAGCCCCAGCCGCTTTGCTGCAGTCTCACCAGCTTGCAGGACATCAGCTTGTTTTGACTTCGGTCAGGTGAGGACTTCCCCAAACCTCTGCATCCCTGGGGTTTGAGTTGTGCTTCAAACCAGCCTCATCAAAAATTACCCCAAAACAAGAAACCCCCCCAGTGGTTAATCATTTTCCAAGGAGAGAAGCTTTAAATCAGGGGATAATTTGGTGCTCGAAGAGCTTACGGGGTTCTGCCTTCTCTGGACAGAGGGCTGTGCAGGGCTCCAGGCCCACGCCTGCATTGCTGCTCCTCTCCGAGCAGGGCTGGGCATCATCGTCATCATCCTCATCCCGTGTCTGCGCTCTGCGGCTCTGTTGTTACTCTGGGCTCAGTCAGGTGTTTGGCCAAGTCTGCCGAGTCCTGTTCGTGCTTTGCTCATCGTAACGGTAATGGGCCTCTTCAAAGACTTTGTAGGAAAGTTAAACACTTCTGGAATATTTTGCTTACAATTTGAGCCGAGCCGGGGCTGGAGGTGGTTGTCAGGCTGCTTTCTTCAGAAACACAGACACTGTTTCTGTTTCTTTTTCTTTTTGCTTCCTGAACACTTCTTCTGATGTTTGTTATCATTTTTTCTCCTTGTGTTGAAGGCTGTATTAAAGAGTTAGCTCTGCTGAAGCCTGTATAAACAACCCCTAAGGATGTCTTGCTCCCTCCTGGTTTTGAGTGCTGAATTTCAGGGATGAAATATGCTGCAGGAAGCCTTGCTGTATTCAGAGGGATCAGGAGAGAAAGGGATGCCACAGTCCCCTGCTCCATCTAAAACAGAAGCACCAGGTGGTTTCTGAAAATGCTCTTTAGCTCAGAAACTGGGATAAGGGCGATGCTGCCCGACCGGTCTCCGCGGGGAGCAGGGCTGCTGTGGCTGCAGCACCCAGAGCAGGGTCCCTGCTGGGTGCAGCCCCCAGCGCTGGCCTTCACCTGGCAGCGCCGGGTCTCTTGGTGAGCAGGCAGGGCTCTGCCGAAGGGCTCTTCAGCTCCTCGGGCTGATCAAGCGGCCGCTTCAGCTCCTCGGCTCAGATGTGGGGCAGAAAGCGCTGGCGTGGGGCTGCCCATGGGAGCAGCCCCTTGGAGACGCCGATGCGCGGTGCCCTCTGCGCTGCCTGGGCGCCGGTAGCTACGGGGTAATTGCCCGTGTAAGCGGCCGATTTGCACGTGCAATTACCCAATGTGCAATCGCAGCCACAGCCCCTTTGAGCTGCAGCGAGAGCTGCACCAAACCCTCTCCCAGGAGCCTGCCCCTCTCCCGTGCTTTCCAGGGCGGGTGCGAGTGTCCTGGAAGCCAGGAGCCTCCTCCCAGGGCCCTGCTGTGTCCTGGTTCATCCCCAATTAAGTGCTCTTTGCTCCGAGCAGAAGTGGCAGAAACACATCAAGCCAACAGTCATGATGGCAAACCTCCAAGGGTTCAAAATCTGGGGTCGAGCTATGCAACTTGGTGTTCAAGTGGCTTTTGGGAGGATGAAGAGCAGCCGAGACCCGGGGCCAGCAAACCCCCCGGCTGCGGATGCTCTCTGCTCCGTGCTGCCTTTGAAGCAGAGCATCCCAAGCAAGGCACCTCCCTGACTCACAGAAACCTGCTGGGCAAAAGAAACCCCTCAGCAGCCTTCCTTGCAGCTGAAGTGACTCAAGCCCACCCGTGAAAAGACTTGGTTTTTGATGTTTTAGGACTTTTCTAAAGAGAATTCTTTAGTTTCTTTCAGTTCTTTGGCTGAACTTGCTGCTGCTTCAAAAGCCTCATTAGTCAAGTGTCCTGTTTGGGACGCACAGTGCGGCCGGATCCAGCAGGCTGCAGGGTTCACGATCCCACCCTTGCTATTCTTTTTGTTCCATTCAGTTTGATTAAAATGAGTATTTTTAAAATTAAACAACACCCACGAATGCGGTGAGACTCGTGAGGCTTTAAAAGCAGCGCCTGAGCAAGAGCAGAGCACGGCAAAGGCAGCGAGAGCCTGGAGGAAATTTCATTGCAGCTTTCTGAAGATACAGCGCTGCCTAAATAATTTCCCCTGGTCTTTTCTAACACCGATAGCTTAATATCATCCACTGATTGCTGTGCTTTGTAGATTGAGAGTGCCAGTATGCCCAGTTTTGGAAGCATTTTAACTCTGTGTGAATTGGAGCCTTTCTCTCTGCCAGCAGCAAGTGGTGGCTCTGCGGGCAGAAGGGTGGGATGCTGCCTGCATGCAGGTGTTGCTGCTCTGCTATGGGTTCCTTACGTGACCTTGGTCGTGTCCCCTGGCCGTACGGCATCCCCAGCTCCCAGCTGTGAAAGGGGAGAGCTCAAGTTTTCCTTGGAAAGTGCCTTCAGCACAAACTCCGCAGCTCTGATGGGTCTTCCCACCATCTGCTGCTTCCTGAGCAGGAGCGTTCCCAGGGATGGGAGTGGAGCCAGGGCTGAGAGCAGGGTGGGTTGGAGAAGCGATGCTGGGTAGGTGTGGAAAAGGCTTTGCCAGCATTTCTGCGCTCTGTCAGAGTCTCGCTGGGTGACAAGAGCCCCTTCAACCCCTCCTGTGATGCTCCCGAGCATCACTTCTGCAAGCGCTTTGCCGCAGGTAGGGCTGCTGCCTGACACTGCGCTTGCGAGATCCTTCCCAGCGCTTCGGGTCTGATGTGAAAGAAACCCCAGCGTGCTCCGAGTCTTGCTATCTCCAGGCTGAACAGGAGTGAATTTCTGGTGCCTGGTCCATCCTGAAGCATCCCTTGTGTCTGTCTGTCTGCTGAGTCCCGGGAGTTTTCCTTCTCGGAGTGTTTGCTAAAGGTTTGCATCAGCTCTCTCTGCATCCCACCACCAGCCCGCTGTGCGTCTGGCTTTGCAGATGCTACGCTTTTATTCTTAGAAAGTCCTAAACATTTCCGCTTTCCTTCTGAATAACTCCAGTGATCGGGGGTTGCTAATCACTCTGGTGAATCTCAGCATTTGCTATCAATCCATCCCATTTAATGCTGAGTATTTTTCTGAGCCTTTAACTTGTGTGGGCACCCAGGTCCGTGGCAGAGGTGCTGACAGGCATCGCGCTTTCCCGTATGAACAGAAATGACATTTGAGTTGAAGCTTCATCAGGGGCTTTTTACACTGCAGATTTTCAATGTGTAAATGTTATATATGCTGGTAAATGCACCTGTCACCTCGCCAGTTGGTGACATCCTGACATTCGCTCTCCCTGGGTATCTCCCCTTGCCGGGGACATGGATTGATTCCTCCTCTGCATCCCCTTGCCTTGGGGAGTGACCTTTGCGCTGGGAAGCGGTGGGATTCTCGTTGGACTTGCTCTTTAGTGACTGATTTTTACCCACATTTTTTTTCCCCAACGCTGGCTCGTGAGCTGTTAGTCACCAGCACCGTGTGGATCCTGTAGTCCAGGTCTGGGGCTGAGCTCGTGGTGCTGTAACGCTGGCGCTGGTAGCAGTGTCCGGCAGCAGAGGTAGGAGAGCACCCCCCTGCTCTTGGTCTTGGTGTTAAAAATCTTTGCTCAAGCTAGTGAGTGGTGGTTTGTTTGGGATTTTAAATTCAGCGTTATAATTGTTCTTTAATATGTGAAGTCTAGAAGCATTTTACAACATGCCCTTTGCAGATGACAAGCACATGCATCTCTGGGAGTGAGTCTAGAGCTGTCATTAATCAGAACATGGTTTGTCTTGGTAGAAACAGCCATATGCTTCTCTGAATTTTGCTGGTAGCCTCTGGTTTAATAATGGATGAAAGAAAAGCTGTATGTTTGACGTGGGCTTTTTATCTGAATCCTGCAAACGATACAGAAATCTTCTTTTCCAACAGTGAGTGACACTTGAGAGCCATTAAAGCCCTGGGAAGTTGTTGCTGCTTTCCTTGCCTTAGCCGAAGCTCAGCCGATGCGGTGAGGCCAGCGCACTGAGGCAGGGGATGATTTTGTCACTGGGGCCAGGTGGGCTTTTGTGGACACACTGCCTTCCTCCCCAGTCAGAGGAGGAGAACGAACTCCTGGCATCCCCATGTGCCCGTCTGACATTCATCTTCTGGGACTGTCCCACGGCTGTGGGTGTCAGCTAAATACAGAGGAATATGTTGAGGTTGTTTTGATCTTATGTACGGTATGGTCATCATCATCCTTGTTAGAGCCTAGCAAGAGAAAGCAGATAAAGTGTCGCTGCATCAAGAGTGGAGTCGTGTATTTGGGGGCTAGAAAGAAAAGGTCTTCTCCACCCCGGGTGCTCCTCACCTGCCGATGGCTGGGAGGGAGGAGAGTGGGTTTGGCTGATCGCAGCAAGAGTGGGAGCCTCCAGCGTGCTGCAGCCGTGGCAAAGCTAACACAGCGCTGGTGAATCCTGTGGGAATTCCAGCAGAGAGGGAAGGGCCAGCACTGAAGCCTTTGTGCAAGGCATCAGCAAAACCTCTTCCAGAAGCTCGATGTCTAATCAGGTAAAATTAATTCAGGCCAGGGAAGGTGTAGAGAAGGGTTGCGACTGGGAAGCAGAAAGCTTGTCTGCGAGATGAGGCTGGAAGAGCTTGGTTTGTTTGGCTTTGCAAAATCAAGGCTGAGAGGAGATGTGATTTGTCATCTGTAAATATGTCAGGTGGGTCAACACCAGGGACAAACAACAGCTATAGAAGCTGCTTAAAATACAGCACTGCCGTAAGAACAAATGGATATGAGCTTGTCCTGAAAAAATTCAGGCTGGAAGTTAGGCTTCTAACCATCAGAGTTGGGGGGGAGGAAGCCACCCAGCTAGCTTTGAGATGGAACTTGATAATTTTCAGAAGAGATTAATATTCTGTGGTTGCCTCTGCCAGCGGGAGCCTGGCTGTGCAGGGAGCCTCGTGGTCCTCTTCCTTGCCTTTGCCTGTGTCTGCCTCTTCAAGAACGCTTTTGGGCAGAGCTCTTGTGTTTTCCCACGGCTGGAGAGCAAAGTCCTGGTGGTGACGTGACTGATGGCTTTGCTGGGCTTGAGCAAAGTTGCCGTGAGCTGAGCGGGATGCTGCTGGGGAACCCCAGGGACTTGCAGCGATCCAAGTGCATCCTCAGACTACGTCACGTGAAGGTTGCACCTTGGTGTCCTGAGCTGTGAAATAACCCCACCAGGCACAGTGTAGGAGCATGGAGAGGTTCCTTGGTCCACATTTGCCCCATTTGTTATCTACAAGTGTCATGAATTTTGATTTGTAGGCTTGTCCATCCACCTGAGTCCCACCTGGCAATGATCTCTGCTGGGTGGAGCTACCATAGCTCAGTGTCCCTTGCTGCACACCTCCTGTGCCTTGCGGAAAGGGTCTGTGCCAGGGGATGCTCCTCTGCTTTACTGGGTTTTGGTGCTGCTCAGCACAGCGAACTCGGATTTGTTACAGTGTCTGTACAATTGTTGTTAAAAACAGGGCTGTGTATGGAAAGTGCCCTCCTGACGTGTGCAGGGATTTTCAGAATCTTCTGCCCTGGACCTGTGCAAAAACAATAACCAAAGCAGATGAGAGAGAGAGAAGATCTGTGGCTGTGTGAGCTGGTGTATCATGTTCTCGCTCATTGACTTTATTCTGATGCGCAAACAACCCTTAATTAATTCCTCTGGCAAACTTTCCTGATGGGAGAGATGCAGTAACAAGTCCCTCTGTGGGCTGTTGGCATATAATGTTTGATTTATAATGTTTGATACTCTAACGTTTCTCCAGAAGATCCTTGACACTCCTTCGCATTCGTGTCTTTCACAGGATGCTGGAGTACTCCCTGGACCTGCAGAACGTCAGCTTCTCAGCAGTCCGCACCGTCCGCGTCCTGCGGCCGCTCAGGGCCATTAACAGGGTCCCCAGTAAGTCGGATCCTTATTCCTCCCAGTTGAAGCAAGTTCTTTGTGTCTGTGGCGCAAAGATGGAGGAGCAAACGTAGATGCTTCCGATCTTACATTGCTGCTCAAACGCTCACCCAAGCCTGGTAGCACCACCACTCCCTGGTTCCCAGTGCCTGTCATTCTCCTACATTAGACAATATTCCTTTTGACATTTGTGGCATCAGAGATGAACCACCAGTCAATAAGATATCCAGGACTGTCTTCAGATGTTCTTTCTCATCTGAAGAGGGTCTTAGGAGGCTGCTGAGGTGAAGGCATGCAGGTGATAGGGGCTGACTGAGCCAACAGCCTTTCCCAGGCAATATGGGCAGAGGAGTCTGAGCCACGCTGCTCCCACCCTCTCTGCAGTACCCCATCCTTTCCTGGAGAAACTGAGGCAAGGAAATCTTGTTGTGCCTGGAGACAGCTCCTCAGGAGGTGCTGAGGAGCCTCCTCCTGGAGCATCTCTTGCTCTGCTCCCCAGAGCTGCTCTGTACAGCCCAAATCCCTGGCTGGGGTGGGAGGTGGCCGTTCAGTGCTGGTTTAGCAGGGCATGTGTGAGGATCTCAGACCCCCCTTTGAAGAGCAATGGGTGGCATTGCCTGCTCCTGCATCGCAGCAGGCGATGGCAGCGCAGCCCTGTGCTCGGAGAGGCGTTGGCCATCGCAACCCCAGCTGAACAGCCCAGGGAGCCGTTCCTGCCACGCCGGGCTGGGCGAAGCCCAGAGCGCTGCGAGAGGCGCTGAGCTCCGTCCCTCTGGGACGCTGTACGGATCGGGTGTGATAAGCAGAAGTACAACTGCATCAGAAAAGTTGTTTTCCTGGTCCTACAATCCTGGCTGTCAAATCCAGCATTGTTTTAGACAAATCCAAGTCTGAGCTCCCCTATCTGAACTAGCCCAATGCCTTAACAAGAGCTAATCAGCTTCGGTTCTGTCTGCCGCTGCTGGAGGTGCCTGGACTCTCTTTATTTTTCCAGTCCTGACTCTTCAACTTAATCTGGCTTTGCTGCTGCTGCTGTTTCAGTCATTACAGTAGCTTCAGAATCCTGTTTGCAATGTTTTTTTTATCCCCGCTGCTGAGCTGATGGATGGCTGAATTTATCCACCATTGTCTAACTGGGGATGTAATTCACCTAATGTATATTGAAGTCCCGGGTAATTTATCTTGGCTTCTCTGCAGCATAGTTACAATGGAATAGAAATGTAAGGTGGGAAAAGAAAAAAGATAGTTTTGTGTGATGATAAATGCCGTAACCACAGAAAGTCATTTCAGTTAATTAAGAGTTGATGCAAGGTGGTTGTTCCCCAGTAGAGTAGAAGAAAAACCCTTATAGAGGAGGTGACAGCATCAGGAATAGAGAAAAAAGTCTTCTTGAAGTTTCAAAGTAAAAGGTGCAACCGTAAAGCTTTCTTTAAATGAAAATCAATATAAGCAAGTGAGAGAATGCAGAAGATGGGCAACGAAGGAGAGTGAGAGATGAGCAGAATATTACAGAGATGTCAGATGAAATCAATTTTTTGTGTGTAAATGTCAAGTTGAAGTCACCATCAATTTGTCTTTGTTACAGAACTGGCTGTTCCTGAACTTGTGAGAATTATCTGCCAGAGAGAGTCCTGTCTTTTAAGGAAGAGAGGGGATTTAGGGTAGATGAGGGGAATTAGGGAGTGAAGGAAATTTTAATATGTACCGAGTGGGGAAAGAAATACGCCCGAACAGGGGAGAAACATCAGAGTTTGGTCTCAGGGAAGAAAAGAGACCTATAATTGCTAGAAAACTTTAGGAGGAGAAGAGGACTTGAGATGGGGTGTGAAGGGAGAGGAGAAGGGAAGGTAGATCTTGTGCCCAGGAGCAGGGAACGGATGAAGGAGGATATCTCAGGGGCTTTGGGGGGAAACTGTAGGGGACTGGGGAGCTGCAGGAGTTTGCAAGCCATGTGTGGGTGACAAGGACAGTGGTTGGGAAGGCAGTGGCTGTCAGGGGAAGGCAAAGTATGGATGGAAAGGAAAAGGTCAGGAGGACATAGGTGGCATAAGAAAACTCAGCGTGGACTTTTCCTCTTCACCTCAGGTATGCGCATCCTGGTGACGCTTCTTTTGGACACGCTGCCCATGCTGGGGAATGTCCTTCTCCTCTGTTTCTTTGTCTTCTTCATCTTCGGCATCGTGGGAGTCCAGCTGTGGGCAGGTTTGCTCAGGAACCGCTGCTTCCTCCCCGAGAACTTCAGCATGTGAGTCTGCGCGGGCTGCAGAAGTGTCGCTCCAGCTTGAGCGAGTCTGTCCCTCCAGGAGACAAGGATATCCTCCATTAAAAAGCCCCAGTCTTCTGTAAATGCTCCCTGCTCCTAAATGCCACCACAGGTCCTGGCCAGGCATGCACGGCTGGAACAGAGTGAGCTGTGACAATTTGCCATTTAAGTCCTGCAGGGCTGTCCTTAACCCTGGTGCTCTGGAACCTCTCTGATTGATAAGAGCATCCGAAAAAAGCTGAGAATAAGAGTTTGGGCTTTCTAAATTCAGCATATCATTAATGTGTGACCTTTTCTGCGCTTGTGGAGACGTTGAGGTCTGAATCCTGTTCAGCAGCTGGTGATGTTTGTCAGTATGGTATTTGTAGTCTCACCTAAGCCCCAGAGGAGGCTGGTGGAGCTACCATACGTTTCAGGTTGTTAGATCCTTTACAGTCTCAGAGCAAGAGACAGTCCCTGTCCCAAAGTGTTATTTTTCACAGATCCCTGGATTTTAAGGCCAACAGGACTATTGTGATCAAATGGGCTTTTGTAGCACCCGGTTTCCTGGCCAGCCAGCTTCCCAGATGCAGGAATGTTTGAACAGTGGTTGAAATACCTGGTAGCTGCCAGCCTCTTTCAGACCAGGATTTCAAATCAGTTCTTCTACCTGTCTGCTGCTTTCAACCACCTCCCTCCCTTTGAATGCTAGGAGATGGGCAGGTGACTGCAAGCCCTTGATGGCCGCTCTGCCGAGCTCTGGTGCTCAGTTATCTGGTTGTCTTCACATATGGCCGCTGCACTGCAAATAGTGCCGTGAGCCCAGAACCAGAGGAAGACACCAACCTGACAGGCTTCTTGCTTGTTATTTGGGGTTATCATCTGCAAAACAAAAGGCTCCAGAACTCCGTCTCCTTTCTGTCAATCGCTTCCAAATGTCTACTCAGAGTTGTTCTGGCTAGATCCGCACCTGGATGGAGGAGTCCTGGAAGCCCAGAGCCTCTCACTTGCACACAGCAGGATCACGACGACATTGCTGTGGCTAGGCTGGCTCTTGGAGCTGGCACGATGCCCCTTTTATCCTCTGCCACGCATCTCCTAATCAACTGTCATCCCTTTTGTAGGTCGTGCCCTCAAAGGGCAGTTGGGAGAGTCATTACCAAGGTATGTCCCTGTAAAGTAGATGGCAGCAGAGCAGAGGGACTGCTTCACCACTGAGTAAATCCAATAGAGCGACAGGTTTGGGTGCTGTTTGACTGAGCTGGAGTTCCAGGGGTTTAGATAAGCTTTGGAGAGTATTAAAGGCAATTCTGCAGGAATTAACTGGGCTGAACTAGGCTTAAAAATATCTTTGCAGGCTTTAGTGGGAGTCCTGACAGCATTAAGGAGATAGCTGTGTGCAGAGCAAGAAGCCAGTTTCTGGCTGGCCATGGGTTGTTTCATGGGTTGTGAAGAGTGTTTTTGCCTGGTTTGCTGTGGTAAGGCCACCCTCAGAGGGAATTTAGAGCTTATCTCTGGGCTGAACAGGCACTGTGAAATTCAAATGAAGGCCCTGTCTCTGTTTTTTAGGAAGCTTGGGAGGTCTTTGTGTGTAGAGTCTCCCCAAGCCATTCTCAGCATCGCTAGGAGGACAGGAGATACAGGAGCTTAAACCGGCTGATTTCTGTCTTACTGCAGAGAATATATTTCAGAGAAGCCCAGCTGGGCTGAATCCTGCTCTTAGTCCCCCAAGCAAAAGCCAAAGCACTTCCAGATGGAGTGACTCTCAGTAGTGTCATCAGAGGGGTCGCTGAGTGGCCAAGTGCACTGCCTCAGTTTCCCAAAGCCCAGTTAGGGACATCATCTCACCCAGTGGGGCTGCAAAAGGTCCAAGGGGATCCCTTTTAAAAAGAAAGCTTTAAGATCCAGAATAACAGATGTCAGACTTTGCAGTTGTTACCTTGCCAGATTGCCTGCAATCAGTGTGCAACGCTCAGCCCTGTGTGGACTCTTTCAGCCCCTACACAGTGGATTTGGAGCGATACTACCAGACAGAGAACGAAGACGAGAACCCTTTCATCTGCTCCCAGCCCCGGGAGAACGGGATGCGCTACTGCCGGAGTATCCCGACACGGAGGGAAGAGGGTCTCGAGTGCACCCTGGATTATTATTCCTACAATGACACCACCAACACGTCCTGTGTCAACTGGAACCAGTATTACACCAACTGCTCTGCCGGGGAGCACAACCCCTTCAAGGGAGCCATCAACTTCGATAACATTGGCTACGCTTGGATTGCAATATTTCAGGTGAGCCCTCTGTGTGCAAACTGTCACAAGGTGAGCGAACAGCCAGTCGTGTCCCCCAACATGTTCCCAGGGGCTGCATAATCAGAATCCTGGGGACTAATTTGCACGGGTATATAGCAGTGCACGGGTGCTTAAATATCAGGCATACAATTTCATGCCTGCTTTGAAGACGCCTCCCTCTCACGTACATGGACAAAATCCCAGTCTCCAAACCCTGTGTGCGTGCAGTAAGATGACTGTGATGTGGAGCAGACTGTAGAGCCTACTCTTCCCTCTGCAAAATACAGTAGTAGGCCTTCGATCCAGCTGGAAAAGAAGGCTGGATTCAGCACAGGCAGCTGGTAATGTGGTTTTTGACGTTGGTGGGAGCAGGGTTTGGCTCCTCGGTGTCTGCATCAAGACCAGCTATGGGGTGTGACCTAGCTAGGAGAAACGTTGCTTGTGCACTTGGTGTTGTAGCTGAGTCTTGACAAGTTGGTTTTCCCTTCCTGTCTCCACCAGGTCATCACACTGGAAGGCTGGGTAGACATCATGTACTTTGTCATGGACGCACACTCCTTCTACAACTTCATCTACTTCATCCTCCTGATTATTGTGAGTGGCCTTAGGGGAACCTGGGGGTCCTCCTGACATTTGGAGAGGGCAAAGTGGATTGACCCAGAGGAACAGGGCAGATAACAGAATGAATATAAAAGCTGGTGCTACATAGGAGGGGTGGAAACCAGCCTGCTGGAAGACATGCAGCTTCAGTACGGCATTGTGTTGCAGCTGCGTTTTGCTGCAAACATGAATGAAGGAAAGAAAGATGTGCTTAAGCTATGGCAGATACACTTCTGTTGCTGCTGTTTCTACTACTTCTCTCCTTGTGCTCCAGCGTCCTCTCTCATAGTTTCCACCTTGAATTTAAGTTCAGATGTAGGCAAATTTCCCCTGGTGGTGTTTTGAGCTCTGGAAGGGGAGTAGGATGCCTAGAAATTGCCCCACATTGAAGAACCCAGCTGGCTGGGTCCTTGGTGCAGAGGGGACATTTCAGCAAAACAGTCCCAAACTTCAGAGAGCACGTTAAGGAAGGAGGGAAGAGATTACTGCCCACAGCCCACCCACGCTTCACAGCATCATCCGAGACCACCCACAAAGGAGCCAACAAAGAGTTTCTGTGGGGTGGGCTCCATGATGGGCTGCATCTATGCAGGCAGAATTGTCTACCGTGACTGGCTGAGCTCGTTGTCTAGACTCCCTTTATCGTCAAGGGAGAAAAATAGGTGCTTTAAGGGGGTGATTCATCTCCTCTGAAGGTAGACATCCAAAATAAATTAGATGCATTGCAGACTTGATGTGCCTATTTCTCTCTTGACTCTAAAGGATCATTAGGTGCCTCACTCAGATGTAGCTGAGATAAGTGAGATGAGTCCCTTTCTTGCTGTCTAATTGGACAAAGTCGAGCAAAATAGCTGTACATCGTCCATTAGGACATTGTGGGGATTTCTGCTCCTCATCAAACCAGGACGCAAACCCTGATGAGAAGGTAGGAGGTTGTTTAGTCCACGATGATTTTTCTGGTTTGTCTATTAGCTTCCCCCAAAAAATGAACCATTCCCTTGCTCCCCTGAAACAACAGAGAGGAAGGGCAAGCAGTACTTTTCCAGATGCCGTGCGAGCAACGTTAGCAGTGTTTGATAGCCCGTTAGCAGGTCAGTAATCCTCTGTGATCCAGGCTGGGCTCTGCAGAAGGCAGAACCTCGTGAAACCCTGGTTGGAAATAAAACCTCCAAGCTGTGGGTACAGGCTGTTGATGCCCTTGCGTAATAGTCACCCGCAAATCCCGTTAGCAGGGGAAAGGGATCTGCTCGCAAGCTGCCCACACACTGCCAGAAAAAACGCTCCTATCAGGAAGGCTCAGCACATTCATCGTAATGCCACTAATTGTGATAATTACAACCGCTGTCTGCGCAGAGAGAAAAACACCATCTTAAAAGAGCAAAAGCTTTTTGTCAAAATTATCTTCTCTCGTCTTTGATCTCTGACGTCCTCCGTGGAGTGCTGGCGTGGGAGTCCCCGAGGTGGGGGCTCGGAGTGTGACTCAGCCCCTCTACGGTCGTGGCTGGTTGTCCCCGACAGGTGACACAGGGGATGGGGCTGCCTGGGGTTTGCCCCCAGCTCCTTACGCCGGGGTGTGGGGTGAGGCAGGGCTATGGGGTGGGCATGGCCGCCTCGAGGTGGCTGATGGCTCCTGTCCCCTTAGGTGGGCTCCTTCTTCATGATCAACCTCTGCCTGGTGGTGATAGCAACGCAGTTCTCTGAGACGAAGCAGCGCGAGAGCCAGCTGATGAAGGAACAACGGGTGCGCTACCTGTCCAACGCCAGCACCCTCGCCAGCTTCTCGGAGCCGGGCAGCTGCTATGATGAACTCCTCAAGTACCTGGTTTACATTGCCCGTAAAGGCAGCAAGCAGCTTGTGGAGGTCTACCGGGTGGCGGGTGTGAGGATGGGCTTCCTCACCAGTCCCGGGAGCAAGGCGGGGACTGACCGGCGCGCTGGGAAGCGCCGGAGCAGGAAGAGGTCCTCCGTGCACCACCTCATCCACCATCATCACCACCACCACCACCACTATCACCTGGGCAATGGGAACCTGAGGGCACCCCGTGCCAGCCCGGAGATCAGCGATGTGGAGACCAGCTCGATCCACAACGGGACCAACCGGTTGATGCTCCCCCCCTCAGCACCAAACCCCCACGGGGCCCCCAGCGCCACTCCCAGCAACACCGAGTCCGTCCCCAGCATCTAC